CGTTGTTGTGGCTGCCTGATGATTGTGTTTCATTATGTTAATTTATTCATAACATGGGCTATTTGAATTCAAGGGTGCAATTTTATACCTCGCTGAGCGATATTTGAAGAATTTATGAATCGAGTTACAGATTTTTTTTTATTATAATTATTTATTAAAAAGTATGATTTGGATTCCTTTTGAGTCGTTGTTTAAATAAAGCTTTCTAGGCATGGAATATATATATACTATTTAAATATTGTAATCACAATAGTGAAAGAAACAAACAATATAAATCATATATTAGATTCTATTAAATAACGTATATACATTGTCATCGGCCCCGCGGTTAGACCGCAATTACAAACATGTCAATTATGATTTGATATCAATTTTCCACCACCGTGTCCAAACTGTATGAGATATTGTGGTGTTTATAAGGCGTCGATCCAAATTGAGGTTTACCTCTAAACCTTCACCTTTTCTTTTTCGACACTTCCATCTGGTCGTTCCATTATTTTTCCTCCATTTCTCTCTTCTATTTCGTTAAAGGATTGATATAGAAAAAAAAAAAAAAAAAGAATTGAGGAGTTCCCTCAGTGGCAATCGATTCCAATATCGATATCGCAAGGGGTCGCAACACGAGCGGTCAATCACGGCGACCCGGTTGCGACAGCCCGCTCATCTCAGGCGACCTTTGCATCTCCAAGCGTTGCTCATTCCCTTCGCCATTGAAGACGCCCTTAGACATGTTAAATACCATTCTTTAATTCCTGCAGCTTGTATTTTTTTAAAAATATTTTCCAATATACGTTGTAGTATCTTTATATATGTTGTTTATAATTGCTAACAAAACAACCTAAAGGATTCTAGAAACTAATATTAATAATAACAAGACAACCATAAATTAACTTTTGAAAATGCAGTTGAATGTATTGTTAATGGAGTCGAATATTGTTAAATAATTATTGTAAATGAATACAATATTGACTTGTTATTAGACAATTAACTCAATCACATATCGGTCATTAACAACAATTATTTATTAATATAATTGACTTGTTGGCCCGTGCGAAAAAATCGCAGAAAATTTTGTTAAGTGAAGAAATAGTAAAACAATATGGAAATAAGTAGTTCCTATGTATTATGTAAGGAAGGAATTAATATTTTTTCCTTGGTCGGTTACAATATTCCATTAAACATAATACGCCAAAATATTTATACAAATTGCTTTTCTAGGACCTATTTTTAAACGCTGATTGGAAAAATAATAAAATTAATAAAGAAAAAATAATGCCACTATCATAGGATATTCTAAATTATTAAAAAAAATTAAACGTAAGAACAACTAAATTTGTTTAAGAAATAATAAAGCTGGTATAAAAGCCAGGAAAAAAATGTATTAGACTATTCTCCTATTAAACGCAATATCTTTAAACAGGAAGACAATACTAAGTATACCACAATTAATGGACTGTATCTATGTTAATAATTGTTCGAATTGTTTTGTAGGTAATTTAGTAATCTTTCTGATTATTATGGGTACAATTAAGAAACAAATACTTTTTGAGTTATTCGCAAATAAAGTTTCTTTTCTTCCATAAATTTTTTCCATAAATTTCGAGGGGATGGGACTACTTATCGCATGTGAAGGAATAGAATATCTTCAAAATGAGTGGTCCATCATTGGATTTGATGAAGAATTGACGAAGTTATGGCGTACCGACAAAAAACACCTTTTAGAAATGATATATAGGATGATTAGCATCACTATTTAAATTACATTTTAACTTAATAAGTCTATTTTGATTGGCCTAAAGATGTCGTAGCGGGTGCAACGATCCTATGTAAATAGAAATCGTTCAATGAATAAATAAATGGTGGGAAAAAAAAAATGCTTTAATTATTTCAATACTTAATCAACGATTTTTCACGTTAAATTTAATACATACAAATAAAAATATTATCTTCATTATATTGTATAAAAAAAAAAATTGGATTGAAAGAATATAATTAGAAATGCTGTTTAAATTTGATTTATATATTTATAGTTCATTTTTCCTTTGATTTAGTTTCTCCAAAGTGTCGTAGTATTAAAATAATTTAACTGTTTTTTAATATAAATTTATTTTAAAAAAAATGTTTTATGTGGTACGTGTTTTAGTTAATAATGACGTGTTTCTAAATTGAACCTAAAATATATTGGTGTATTTGTTAAATTTCTGAAGAGGAGGACACATATTCTTTAAATGTTCAATGAATTACTATGAAACGTTAATTTTGATTAAACTGGGTTTAAAATATTCTTAAGTATTAATAGAAATTAAATAATTTAATATAAAAAATATATAGTTATATATAAAAAATATATAAATCATAGATTTAATTAAATACTCCATTAATTTTAAATATTTTAAAATAATTATTTAAATGGAAAAAATAATTAAAACATACTTTTAATTAATTGTTTATTAATTGTTTAGTAGTAAAATATCATGTTTACCAATTAAGACTATTATCAAAAGGAAATGGGAAATCTAAGAAATTAATTTGTATCTAAATAAAAATAAATATATTTTAAAGGAGGGCTGTAAAAGGAGGGGAGCTATATTAAATAATATTCTTATAACAAATCACTAGTAACAATCGTACTATGCTTACAGCTGTTGTTTTCCAACCTGAATAGCTGTTAATTGCTAAAAATAATTTAAAATTTATTAGTCTATTCCACGACTGAAATTAACTTTTCTTTGGCAAATTAAAACGTCTGGTATTTGAAAGGAAGTCGCATTTTATATTATCTTTGATGCTCCTCTAGGAGCAAAGATATGGTCTCTAGATGTTTTTTATGTTCTACTCCAAATCGTTTGTTTTGGATTTTGATTTTTGAATGTGTTACTGAAGTAATGCTAATTTTTTTTTTATAAAATTGCTAATGATGAAAAAAAATGTTTAGGCAAATAATCTAAATTAACTTTTATTTACTTTAATTAGTCACTAGAAAGGTAATGTTATACTACTTTAGGTGTATAATTATTGGGAAATTATTATAGAAATATTTTTTCTAATGAAGATGTAAATAATATATAATAAATGTATAAATTAACAAGAGAAGGTCCTGCTGAGTTAGCTACACGGCTTTTCTTCAGGAGAGCTGACAATGAACCCATTATTAGCTGTTGTCTTGTGGCGACGCACCTGAAGGAAAATCCTTTGTCCTCCAGCGAAGGCATTTTCATGGAGGAGGGAATTTTCATTAATTTTTTTATATTAGTTAAATTTTTTCTCTTTTTAGCGTTCCTATATTCCGTAATTATTATAAAAGGTTCCCTGCTCATGTGTGACGTAAGCTTTGACATTCTAAACCTTTAAGTAAATTACCTTTTTTTAATATAATGCCTTTATAATAATTTTAGATAATTTGTTTCCAGCCTTATATATATATTTTTTTTAATGGGAGGCTAGGGTCGGGCCCATGGGTCAGTTGATCATGTAAGTGGCCAATGTGTAGAAACACTTAGTTTAATGTTTAATGCATAGTTTAATGTTTTAAAAGGAATAAAATATATTGAAAAAGACTAGAAATGAAGCAAAACAATTAAAAATTGATTTTCAAAATTTCTGAAAGCTTGTGAGAAGAAGATGAATTTGGAATTTAATAGTGGTGTAAAACTTAGTACGGCAATTGTAAAGAACTATATCGACACCGGATACTTCAATATTAATTTTAAAAATTGAAATTTAATTAAAAAACGATAAATAATTTTTTTCATATACTTTTTACTTATTTATTTTTTGTTTATAATAATCAACCTTTGTAATCGACCAAGAAAAAAAGTCAATTTCCCTCAAAATTTGAGATTTTACTTTTTAAGATACTTAGCATCTGATATGGTTTATTTGAAAGTTTACGGATTTCCCTAAAAAAAACAGAAACAAATTGTTAAAATTCGGACAATTTGGTGCAAAGATATGCTGTTCTTCAATGCTGATATCGATTGTTTAGGTTTTTGATTTTTTTAAAGTCTTACATCAACTAAAGCAAACGAAGTTACGAATGAAAAAAAAAAATGTTGAGACCAATATTAGGAATCACCTTCGATTTATTTTCCTCTAGGAGACAAGTCAAGTAGTGTATATTTGATATAAATATAACTGTTTGGGAATAATAAACCATTGTGTAACCATTCTCAGCGTTTAGAATAAATACATATATAAACATAATTAAAGCACATGTTTTACAACTTTATTTTAACCAAAACAATTATACTCTCAATCCGTAATCATCCAGTTTTACTTTATTTTGCTATGATGGCAGTCATGCTGGGGAATGAAATTTTCTGGTTTCATGTAATCGTATAATTGATTTGAAACGGTTGTTCATTGAATTTTATTGAGAGAGTGTTCTCGATCTTAGAATGTTTTGATTTCTTAAATAAATGCAAACTTTGTATCGAAAGATGATACTTAGAAAGAAAGAGAACATTTCAAGTAAGGTATAGATAGCTTTACAGAAAGTAATGTTTACTCTTCGGTGACAGTTGATAACTCACCACCGAAGTTCTAGTCCTAGTAGAATAGAGCCTTCCATAGATAAGAGCTCCTTTCTCTCTTGGTTACTTGCGATGGGCCAGTTCGGTATTTTTTAAACTTTTTTTTTGGTTGCTTGCGTTAGACCTTATGGTCCCTGAGAGCCCTGCCGGAACCATTGTTAGATTAGTCAAGTGAGGATATACTCCTGAGGACACTTAGTGGATTTGTCTTATATGGAGAGGTGTTTTAGACCCTCCGCATTTCTTGAGAGCGTATCAACTTTTTTTCTAACCCCTTCTCCCTTATTAGCATACAATTTACTATTACTTACCTTATCTGAACACTTGGGAAAAAGTGCCTCCCGTAAGTAATAAATAAGGCTTGCCTAAAAACCCAGAGGTTGGGATTAATATGATAATATAGCCTGAGGGAGGTTGCTTGGGTAATGCCCGATTCCGGATTCTAGTCTTGGCCTCATCTTGCGCAACATGTCCGAGCCGAATGCGAAATGCGTATCCTTTTGTCCTCAGGATCAGGTTAATCCTTTTTTTTTATCCTTAGCTGTCTTTCATCCATTGTCTTCCCCCATCCTCGCTGTGTCAACTCGCTTCTTTCACAATGTTAGCCACTTAGAATCTAGTGAATGGTCTCTTTTCATTATTTACTTTATTTAATCGAGTTGTTATGCTTGAAATTGTTAAAAGATGTAATCAATGATTGTAATCATGGCATATCTTCAGCTACAAATTCACATTTATTTGTTTTTATTCACTTCTTAATTTTATATATATATATATATATATATATATATATATATGTATTCATGATTTATGGAATTGTAATTAATAGATTATAATAATAATCAACAGTAACTTTAATTCAATAGCTTGGAATGAGAAGGTTCAATGTTCAACATATTGAGATTGGAATGAGCTGCAGGAAGGAATCAGTGTAAGGTTTATATAAATTCTTTAAGGCCTAATTTTCTCCCATTATTTTTTAATCTCATAGCTTATACATTTTTTTATAATCTTTTTTTATTAAAATAATAAATTTTGCCTCAATTAAGGGCATTGAGTATTAGAGCTGTGTGAGACTCATTCATACCATATGTACATTAACAAAAACAATAGAAAAATTATTACAAAATAAAATAAAGAGAAAACGTAATTAAACAAAAAATATGAAACTAGATACAACTTTAAATAAATATATAAAATATAAAAACACATTCATACTTATTTGCAACTGCCAATAATTAGATAACATTAACAATTATACCCTACTCTTTTTTATTTTGTGCAAACCATTAAAATTTCAAATTTTTGGAAATTCGACTTTTTTTTTTGTTTGGAAGTAAGGTATGGAATTATGCTTCGATAAAAAATATATATATATATATTAGATATTTTTCAATGGTGATTCTAATAAATATATACTAAAATATGTGACACTAGTAAATCAGTAATAATATGTACAATACAAGAGATATGAACCAACTACTTCTCTACTTATAAAAGAAAACCTAATAGAAGTTCACCTTTTATTTAGCAGCCTGAGGGAATAATTATTAATTTTCTACAACAATTGTATTATTATTATTGTATTGTATTATTATTGTAAGCATTTAATGTTAAATAATTATTTTCTATTTATTCTTTGTTGTTGTTTTCACTGCAGTGCATGAATATGAAAACAGTAATTGCGAATATCATGGAAAGTACTATTTCTACTGAGATAATTATTATCAAATACTTTTTATTGAGTATTATTATGTTTAGTTTTAGTGGTTTTCATGATATTTGCTAAAATAAAATAGTGCTTTCTGCTATAAAAAAATAATTAAAAGAAACTTTTAGTATTTTTCGAGCACCATTGATCCTAATGAGCTATATAGATCAAAAATAAATATATAATAATTAGGATATAAATGAAAAATTAAAAGCCATAAAACGTTGAGTTTTTAACATATAGTTGAACAGATAACCTGCCAGAAAAATAAGGACAGAAGAAATATGATCACATATATGTGGTCAAAAAGAAGGAAAAGGAAAGAGAGAAAACAAAAGTGTATAAAAGACTTCATACCAACAGGTCCAAATGATTACTGGTTGAAACGGTAGGTTACAAATACACAAGCCGTATTAGAGGAAGGTTATATTAAACAGCTCAGAAAAAAAATATTAATTCCAAAGAACTGAAAAATATAGTAATAAAAAATGTGTTAAATAAATTATTTTAAATTAAAATATAATAAATTCAAAAGGAAAAATTGCAATGTGTATATAAGATCTTTACTCAACAAAACCCAGTTGATACACTGCTATTTCAAAAGTAATATTATTATAAAGTAGCATATTGCTCAATATAAATCATAAAGAGCAATATTAAGGTTCAAATTGATGCTAATGGAATGAACCAAAAAGTTGTCTATGGTAATTATTTAGGAATAACTGTTTTCGTAATATTTAGATAAGTCAATTATCGAAAGAAAAGAAACTTCTGATTTTTGCCAGCGAGATGAAGTTTCATTTTGGTTGAAACAAACCATGTTTGAATGATACAATTTCTACTTATTTTCCAATGGGCGCCATTTCGAAACACTCATGCATTCAGTTGGCAAATTGAACGCTGTATCATGATTCATTGAATGGCATTATGAAGCTGCATGACTAATAGTTTTCTTCAAATAAGACCCAAATTTTCGACTCTTGGACTACTTGTTCTAGAGATTGGTACTCCCGCTAAACTTGAACAAAACAGGAGAGCTCTTGACAATTACCTGGTTAGGAACCCCTGGGCTGGGAGATTAGCTTTGAAATATTTTCGCCGCTACAATTGTCTGAGCATTTTGAAACTGTTAACGGACTCTAGGATTGCGAGTCGATCCCGTGAAATTGAATCCGTTTGTAAGAATGGGGCAACTCTTCGCCTGCCTTCAGTTTCCATGATAGTTTTTTTTTTTTTGTTCTGGCCTTGTGGACGTGGTACCCTTCTTCTTCGTTTCGGTCCCATTTTTTATTCAGTTGTCTGATAAAGGGATATGTACGTATGATAATGGACTTGCTTTAAAATTTAAATTTTTGTCTGCGACGTGGGAAGTTATAGTTACAAATTATCATTCGTCTCGTTAGACTATGAGCTGTTTTTTTTTTGTTTTTTTTGGAATGCTGCTGACTTTCAAGAAGTCGAGGGTTCATATTAAACGTTTTGATTCAGATAAGATAACTCTGAGATAAGTTTAATAAAAAAACAAAACAATCTAAGTTATGTGCTTTACACAACTATACCAGACCAACTATATAGACCAAATAGGCGTGATTATTAATATGAAATATAAATTATAAATAGTAGTTTATTATAAAGTAAAATACTGAACATTTCCCTTCCTTACAGTATGAAGTTCCGGTTTTTAATTTCTGAGATATTTTAATCCATAACTTGAATAAAACTCGCTATAACTTGGTTTTCGACTCTACGTTTTCCTTTTTGCCTCTTTATCACGGCGTCGTGCTAAGATACAATTTTGAATAATAGCCCATTCCAGAGAAGATGAAATCCCTCGCTTACAGTGTGCAGGTTCGATTTTTAGTTCACGATATTTTAATCCATATGAAAAAAAACTTCAATTTGTCGACTCCAGCCGATTTTTACCGAGCGTTACACATCTTGAATCTGATGGATGAATCTAATTCACACTCGACAAAAAAAGTACAAAACGCGCATAAAAAAGTCTTCACTTCAAAAACAGTTTATTCAAATCGATATTTCGATTTATAATCGTATTTTAATAAAATCAATGGTAATAAGACAAAATTTAAAGGTAACTTAGCAAGACCAAAATGGTTCTATTAAAAAAGTTTCTTCACCTCAAAGTTTCCTGCATTTAAAACAGACCTAAGGGTCTCTACTGGACAATTTGTGAACTAGACCAAATGTTACTTAAAATATTTCGAGTATGAAGGACTTCCTTATTGGTACCTCTCCTCTCCTCCTCCCAAAAATTGTATTGTTCTCCTCTTTTTAAAAGCCGTGCAAGGGAAATATAATTAGAAAATGATATGTCTGTTCCCCTTTTGTCCCATGCAATCTCAATTTAGGTTACTTCTGTTTTTTTTAAAAACTGTTAAGCCCGTTTGGTGAGTAAGAACTTATAATACTAGACTAATTGTAACTTATAGCCTATAAACCAAACTAAGAATAAACTGGTCTAGGATTAGCTCAAGAACATAAAACTAGTTTACTCCTACGCTCAGCGGGAAACACGAAGCAATATGTGTTTTTAATGTTGGAATAGTTAAGTGCTGTTGCTGACTACGTTGAAAACACGACTTTGTTAATCTCTGACTCAGAAACGAAGTGTCTCAAGTTAGCGTTTATTGTATAACAGTCAATGTTTCGCCAATTTTTGACATCTTGTCCTCAAAAGGATTATTTTGTGATAAGAGCTATTTGTAAGTTTCAGGATTAATAAGGTTGCAAGACACCAAAGATACCCTAGCAGTACATACGATTGTGAATAAATCTATTTTTTCTCAAACATTATAATTTATTATATTATAAGCAGTTCACACCTTTACTAAGTCATAAACTTGCTTGATGTGTATAATGAGATTGAGAGAGATAAATGCTTTATTTATTAAGTAATGCTTCCTTAAAAGTGTAAATTCTTAAAATCACTGTTATTTCCATTCGTCCATTACATCTGCTTTCTAGTTAATCCTTTATAATATACAAATACAAGTATATATTAAAATATTTTATTAGGATTTTTTTTTTAAATTTCGCTAGCAGAATGGCATTACCATGTGCAAATACCATAACTGTAATTTCTTTAAGTTGAGAAGTAAAACTTTTCGAAACGAAGAGACCTCAGCCTCGAAGCCTCCGCAGGTGCACATATGGAAATAAAAATAGGCAGAATTGGACGGGGCGCATAAATCGGTAGGAGCATTATAATTTTTGCGACGGAAGGCCAAATTTAGTGTCCACTAATGCCTTTAACAAACGGGGCTTGATGATAAATCGCGGCTTTTTATTGGTCGGTGACAATGGGACCATTGTAAGGGCGTTAACTGATCTCCGGGTTTACGGCTCTGCCTAATTACCGCGGGCTTACCAACCATCGCATAAATTGCCCCTAAAATACAGGCCTAGAGATATTTCACCTTTCAAGGTTGGCAGCACCTTTGTTGCCCCCCTCAGGTGTGAGGTTTGCTTAATTAATATATTTTATTACCCTCCTTCTCTCCCCGGGCAGTACCGTTTTATGGCAGGGCAAACAGTCATTTTGTTTTCTTCTCTTCACTCTGGGCGCTCTTTTTCTTATTCTCTTTTTTATTATTTTTTTCTCTTGTTATGTTTTACTGGCTCCTCGGTGTTATTTCCATTTTTCTAAACGATCTCCTCCGACTCTCCAGTTAATTTGGGATTACTGACCCTTGGAATTGCCCTCGCACGGCCTGCGTCCGATTCTCCATTAGTTTTAAATTAAACAACGATGTTAAACTCCGTGGCAAGTTAACGAGGAAAATCA